GGCGGAGGCGGAGGCGGGCGAGCGGGGGCGGCGGCGGCAGCAGCAGCAGCAGCGGCAGAGCCCCGGACCATCCTAAGCCGGCGTCGCGCCTGGCAGCGGCCCCCCTCGCGGCTCCTGGGATTGGCGCAGGTAGCAGCCGCCCGGGCGGCTCTCGCATCCTTTTGTCCTTCACTCCGCCGCCGCGGCCGCTGCTGCCGCTGCTGCTGACGCAGGGGCTTCTCGGCAGGCAGGGCGGCAGCGTCAAGCGGGCGGGCGGGCGGCTTCGCTCGGCGCAGGCAACGCCGCCCCTCGCCTCGCCGCCTCCCTCCGGGGCTTAGCGGGGAAGGCGGCCAGCCGCGCAGCCTCCCGTAGAGCGGAGCGCCAGCGCCAGCGGTGGACAAACGGGCCGTCCGGCTGTCCCGACTGCAGAGGGGGGGGTTCAGGCCCTTCGGAGAGCCCCGGCCGGACACCCCCTTTCGCCCCTCCCCATCGCAGCCCTGCTGGGCCTCTCTGGGACACGGGTGGCGGGGCGGGAGCTCCGTTTCTCCTGGCGGCTGCCAGGGGATCTTGCCGTCCCGGACAGGAATCGGGGCTCCCTCGGGGACAGAGGCTGCCTGGGCCTTGGGAGGGGGGGGCAGGCGTGGATGGGGCCCGCCGCAAGCTCAGGGGACCGGGCCCCTTGCCCAGGCCTGCTGTGGGAGAGAGCCGTGGCTGCTTTCTCTCAGGTGGGCTCGGGTTGTGGTTGGGAGCCCTGCAGGAGGCGCCCTGGCTCAGAGTCCTGGTCCCTCCTGAGGGTGGCCCAAGTGGGCTTAGGGAGGAGCCCTCGGAGCCCCCTTGCAGGTGGGCTGCGCTAAGTGGGGCAGCTGGGACCCCCAGCTGCCTTGAGGCTGTTGGAGAGAGCAAGAGGCGCTTGGGACTAACGGGCAGAGTGAGGGTCTGCTGGGCTGGGCTGTGTGTGCAAGTTCTGTGGCATCCCAACAGCCACTGCTTTGCCTCTGGACTCCACTGAATGGGCTCCCAAGCATGTGCAAAGGGCTTTTCCCTTGGGGTCCCTGATTCCTCCCCAGGCCAGGGGTCTCAATTTAAGGGAGAAGAGAACCCATCATCTCAACTCCAAGCAGCTTCTCTGCTTCCCCCATAGAATCGTCTGGTCATTTATTGAATTTAGGCTCTCTCTTCTGCCATAAAATGATAGGAATTCTGAGGTCGTAAGTCAGTCAGAGGAAAAAGCTTGGAACAGAAAGGCAGCTGTGCGTTACACAAGAGAACAGCCACGAAACCTTTAAAAATCAAGAGGTTAGACGTTGGGAGCCCAGAACCCAACCCCGCCTGATAGAAGGAAAAAGAGGGTGGGTGCTCAGGGTCTCCGGCCACTTTAAAACCCGGATTCAGCGCTAGAAAAATGCCAATTTCACCCATCGTCTCACCCATCCAGCCGCTGGGGGAATGCCGTGTTCCTGGCCTTGCACAAATGGGGGGAGCGGGTTGGAGACCCACAGAACGGGGTCTCTGGGGAGCAGAGCCGGAGAGCCATCGGGTCTTGAGAGCCCCTGGGGTGGGGGGGAGACGGCTCAGGGCCCAGGGGCCAGGCTGTTGTGGGGGGGGGGGCTGGTCTCCCCTCTGCCAGGCATGCCCATCTCCTCCCCGGGGATTCCTGCATTGCCTGGAGGGCCACCCGGAGGGTTCTGCCAGCGCGTCTCCTGCCCAGCGAGGCTCAGCCTTTCCTTTGGCCGGCCGGCCCGGGCTGCTTCTGCTCTTGCCGCCTGAGTGAGCCGGGGCGCCCAAGTGTGGCTAATCCGGGCTGGTTTCTGAAATTCAAACTCGGCTGCTTCCTTCCTTCCTGCTCATCCTTGGCAGGGATCCCGGGGCTCCCCCTGCGGTGGCTGCCCTTCTTGGGGGCTGTGCGGAGTCCCTGCTTCCTCCGAGGGGCAGCTGAGAGGCCCAGCTGCAGACCTTGCTGGCCCTGGCACCGGGACCCTCCTGCTCTGCCCACCCCTCTTCCTCCCCTTTAAAGCCAACGGCTGCAGGGCTCCCGTCTCTGCCTCATGGCACCTCCACCTGCCTGGAGCAGAGCTGGAGGGCGCCAGGTGGGGTCCCACCCGAGGCCTGAGGGTCTCAGTGGTTTTCACTGGTTCTCCTGCCGAGAACTTTCTTGGGCCAAGGTGATTTTTGCTGAGTTCTTTTTCCGCCTGGGGTTGGGAAGCGTCTGCCCACTAAGGAGCCGCTTTGGCAAAGAGCTTTTGGGAAGGCGGCTCTTCCTCTTTTCCTCTGAAAAGCTCCTGGTGGCAGCCGCCAGCTAAGCACAGGGGGGAAATGCTGCTAGCATTCAAGGCCCCCATTAAAAACACAATAAAAACAGTATATATCAGTTTCATGCCAGGAAATGTCAAGACCCAACAGCTGCCCAGAGGCCCCCCTGGAAGGCCCACTTCTGTGGGGAACCTGTCCGGCTTCATAGGAAGGCTTGGCCGGGCTGCAGTGGGGAGCTGGTTGGGGGTGGCTGCCCAGGGCCACAGCTGCTGCTCCCCACTGTGCCTGGGGTGCTGCCCTTGCAAAACCTTGGGGTGCTTTGGGGTCTCCAGGTGGGCAGAGGAGGGCGGGGCCGGGACTCTGGGCCTGTGGAGACCCTGGTCTGCCAATGGGCCGGTGGCCAAGGGGCACTGGACTCTCCAGAAGGAGAAACCGTGAGCGGAGGCCTCCGTCCAGCCTCCCCTTCCTCCTCATTGAAACACCCAAGGTTGCCCTTCGCTTATTGGAAGCTGGCGAATGTGTGGGCCGCTGTGGAAATCCCTGCCCATGGAGGTGCCATCGGTCGGCAGCCCCTTCTCCCCCCAGCCCCTCTGCGGCCTTTTCCTCCTCCAGGACCCTCCTCACAGGCCGCTGGGGGATCAGCCTGGCCCTTCTTCTCTTTTTTTTTAATTAAACAATTTTTGTTTATTTTAGAACAAGGAGAAACAAACATAAAAAATAATAATTTTTTTTAAAAAAACCATCTTCCTTTACAAATTGTAGAAAGTGTGTCAGTTCGTTAGAGTATTTCTTCCATAATCACCTGCTTTTCGTATCAAATCACATGTTTTAAATTCACATGGATCCNCTTCAACTCCCAGAATTCCTCCGCCAGCAAAGCTTTAAGGCCTGTGGACTCCAATTCCCAGAATTCCACAGGTCTTAAAGTGGCCACAGTTGGAGACCCCTGCTCTGGAGGGTTGAGCCTTCCAACCTGTGGGCAGGCCTTCCTCGACTTACGACTGCAATTCAGCCCAACATTTCCATCGTTACGCGAGATTTATTCAATGAGCTGTGCTTCATTTTACGGCCTTTCGGCCACCCTTAAGGGAATCACTGCAGACGTTCAGTGTCTCATGCGGTCGTGAAGCGGGCCTGGCTTCCCCCATGGAACGTGCTGGTCGGAAGGGGAAATCAAGTGACCCCGGGGGACACTGCCACCGTTGTAAATACGAGTCAGTTGCTAAGGGCCTGAATTTGGATCGCATGACGCCACGGCGGTCGTAAGTGTGAAACACACAGTCCTAAGTCAATTTTTTCAGTGCAGTTGTTTAACTTTGAATGGCCACTAAGCGAAATGTTGTAAGTCGAGGACTACCTGTGAGCGCCTGGGGGGGAGGGGCCTTTCAGAATATCAAAAGGGGTGGAGCTGACCTAATTTTTCCGGGGTGTGTGTGATGTGGCAGAAGGTGGGCACCGCAGTAGAGGACACCCCCCCCCCCCTATAGGTTTCTAACCAAGGACCCCTGTCGTTTGTCTACATGGGGAGATTCAGGAAACCCCCAGCCCAGCCCAGCCCAGCCCAGCGCAAGGCCTCCCGTCCTCTGCTCACTTCTCTCCCTCCGCGATCTCCTGCATGCGGTGGGCCTCGGCCTCGGCCGGCAGCCGGATGGTGGCGATGAGCTCCTTGTCCATCCTCAAGACCTCCTTCTCCTCCACGTCGATCTGCCGCCGGCGCTGAACCACCTCGATCTCGATCTCCTCTTGGCGGATCTTCTGCTGCTCCTTGGCGCCCTGCAGCTCGTAGGCCAGCTGAGCCTGGGCCGACTGTCCGGAGGGAAAGGAGGAGGCGGTCAGAGGAGGCGGGGAACGGCCAACTGTGAAGGCCGCCTCTTTGCCCGGAGCCCTGCAGGCGGAGGTGGGGGGGGGGAGTTCCCCCTCCAACCCAGAGCTTCTGCGGAGGTTTCTCCTTGCCAACCCAGCAAAACAGGATCGCTTCCCGATTTTCCCACCTGGAGCCATTCTCTCTGCCCCCTTGGCTCCGTCCCCCATCCGAGGCTGGCATAGCTAAAGCACGTGGGGTCCTTGATGGGCTCTCTGTGGTTTTCTAGCAGGCGTTTCATGACCCAACTAGGTAACATCATCAGTGCTAGGAGGGAGGGTTGTGGAGTGGAGGAAGAGGAGAAGGAGAAGAGGAAGGAGTTGGGGGGGGAGATTAAGAGGAGCGAGGAGGATTATGGGGTCTTTATTGACGTCTTAGTTTGGCTGTCTTTTTGCAGACGTTTCGTGACCCAACTAGGCAACATCATCAATGCTAGAAGGGAGCGGGGTTTGCTCTATGTTTATACGCAAGTCTCTTCCCCTGCCAAGTGCTGTTTCCCTTTTGGTGGCTCCTTAATTAAGGAAGTGCAGCTAGAGAATTCCTGGAATCCTGGCACTCAGATGAAGCAGCTATTACGAGGCCTATCGAGGCATTTAATTTCACTCAAGATTTAATTTCACTCAAAGGAAAGAAAAAGGAAAGAAAAAGGAAAGAAAAAAGAGAAAGGAAAGAAAAACGAAAGAGAAAGGAAAGAAAAAGGAAAGAAAAAGGAAAGAAAAAAGAGAAAGGAAAGAAAAAAGAAAGAAAAAGGAAAGAAAAAAGAGAAAGGAAAGAAAAAAGAAAGAAAAAGGAAAGAAAAAA